TCCGAAAATACAATTTAAATATTTTGCACACTTATTCCACTTATTCCTAGTGTGCCACTGGTTACGGTGCCGCGTGCCAGGGGTTGCCGACCCCTGGTATAGAGTGAACGTGTGGAGCTCACACGATAGAGAAAACACCAAGATGAAAAAATCTAATCCATCTCATTTACCGACGAACATTTCTACTAAAGACCGGGCAAAAAGTGGGGGGAAACTATTCTGCACCCCGTGCAACTGTGTGTTGGAGCATAAGAGAAAATCGACGGTGACGACCCACTTTGATTCATTCAAACATTCGAAAATGCTTTCTGCTGCTGCGGACAAGAAAGCCAAACAACTCACGTTCAGCGAGGCATCAACCTCCAAAACCCTTTCGAGGGCTACAAGAAACGAAGTGAGTAGCCTACAAGATTGAAGCTGGTCAGATAACGAACGAGTAAATGAAAACGGAATGAGGCGGAGAAGTGCGTGGGGGGGGGGTGGTGTGTGTGTGTGTGTGTGTGAGATTAAAATAGCCCAATTGCTTTTACAATAAATAAACATTGAATGTGTTTAATTGAATAGTAAAGGGGTTTAACGTTAGTGGCAGTTTGTGTGTGAGAGAGAATAAATAAGACTATTTAAAAAAATTGTTATTCTTTTTCCCCGCATATTTAGCATATTCCGCAACTTTCCGCATATTTCGCAACTTCCCGCAATTTCACCGCATAAAATCACATAAAAATCCCGCATGTTTAATCGCATAATCAAGGATTTTAGCCCGCATAATCAAGGATTTTTGCCCGCGTTTTTCTGGAGGGTCTAGATTATGACTTTCTGCAAGTCGTTTCTAAATCAATAGTTATTCATTACTCTATGGAAACTTCTGGTTTGAGAATATAACGAAAGCATGAATTTGATCTAAGACCATATCTAACATTTGAGTTTCATTCTCACCACAGAGCATCACGGTGTATGCATGTATCCACAACATTTAAATGATGTTTACATTCAGGGTTTTCTCCTTTAAATGCACTGTGTGCATCCTTGAAGTCTGTCAAATGCTTTGAGTACATTTCTGAATGTTTGCCAATAGGAGTGAGGCTTTTAAGATTCACCGATGGAAAAACACTAGCTGATATAAATCTATTTTATAGGAGCTTACACAACGTTTCTGAACCCAGAAAATGCCCCCAAAAGTGTCCAACTATCATAACATTCCATTTTCCATTTTCCATGTCATTCCATTACAGGTTATTTTACTGCTTGTTCCAAAACAAATATTCTGCTTTCACTCCTAATCTACAGGCAAATACAATCTACTACAAAAAGGTTGAGCTTTTCATAGTTATCCAGCCAACATAAATCAATACATGGAGGTCATATTACTTCAAAGTCCTCGTAGACAGGAAAGTAAAAAAAGAAGGGAACCTCATAACACATAATCTGTCCTCCTCTCGAGTGGCGTTTATAATGGCTAATGCAATATTTGCTTTTATTAACGATTATGACAAAAATGTTTACACTTAAGTTGTTCCTAATGGAATTTATATTGTTTTATCTACCAACCTTTTTTCTCTATAAATGAGTAACATTCTGAACAGCCCCAGAATATTAAAAGGTGATCAGTTCATGCACAAAATATTGATAATATATGAACATGTAAAATGTCATGAGTCTTTAATCTCATGGAACAATTCAACATGTAAGTCTTTTGTCTGGAGGTTCCCATCTTATATCATCACCAATGCCCAGAACTTAATTCAATACAAGAACCCCTAAAAAGAAATGCAAAAGCATAAACACTTGCACTTTCACAGAAACCCTTAACACCACAAGCAAAGTCAGACACAGGACACACATGAATTTACAATAACACCGTTGAAATCTTTGACAGTTCATCTCCGCCAGGCATGGGATTAATCTGCAGTATATCTTCCCTGCTCTGTTTGTATCCAGCCTAATGTAGATAGTAGTCAGCCTGAGGCCATCGCTAAACTCGGGCTAGTCACAGGAAGTGGTCCACCGTCAACGGCCTCATCAGCCGAAGAGACAAATTCCACCGTTGTCATGGACACTCCGGGGGAGGAGCAGGGCGGTAGAAAAGTCGTGCAGGTTGTGAGAAGAATTGTTAGACGTGTGGTTCCTGCTCAGGCAGAAGGGCAGACCCAGCCTGTTGTTTCAGAGCCTGCAAGGGCTGCCTTTGCCGCAGACTTGTTGCCCAAAACCAGCACTAGGTCGGATGATATCTCTATGGGCCTGACCAGCCTAATGGGCAGAAGTAGAACCAAGGAACACCGGCCTCGCACCCGCACCCAGGACCGCAAAGAGGACATGAAAGAAGAGGCAAAGCAGGAGGAAGAGGAGAAAGTAGCTGTGGAAGAAAAGGAAGAAAAACCTGCTGTGGAAAAAACAGAGGAGGCCACTGCGACCAACCCTACAGCACCAACACCTGCATCCCCTAAAGTGAACCCCCTCACCCCTCCAGCTGGGTTCATCCCCGCTCCCAAACCCAACCCTTTGGCCCCACCGGTTGGCTTCATCCCGCTCCCCAAACAGAATCTGTTGACTCCTCCGCCTGGTTTCATCCCTGCCAGAAAACCCAGTCCAGTGCCCCCAAGACAGAATCCCCTAGCAAGACCTCCAGGATTCGTCCCTGTCCACAAGACAGATCCTCTGGCTCCTCCTGCGGGGTTCATCCCAAAGCCCCGACCAGTTGCCCTAAAGAAACCGGAGGTACAGAGTGAAACAAAAGCATGTTTGCTACTTAACCTCTGGGTGGAGCATGCTGTTCAATAACAACACAGACATTACTGTTCATATTCAACCTCATCCCAATGTCCAGCCTAAAACACATTTTCAATTTGAGCTGATTTGCTTTTGATTATGGATAATCATTTCTTGCAGGTTAAAAAAGGGATGCACATATTACTGTTTTGATTTTTGTTGAAGACCGCCTGATTTGTCCACATTTTTTGCAGTATACCACCTAAAATAAATAAATATTGTTGGTCAACAACAAGTACTAAAGTTAGCTTAACGCAAACCCTAAACCATAAAATACTCTAATAGTTAACAGTACAATTTAATTAGTAAAACCTCTCTCCCGATATCTTGAGTTCCACATTAATTTACGTCCCAATATATATAGTATAGTTCCGGGTTTTGCACAACAGACAAAACAGAAAGCATTAAGTCACCCATTTAGACAATAGGAACAACGTTTTGGACAAAGGAAATACTTTACTTATTCCCGGGCAGTTGGAAGTTTTTTTAAACTTGAGGAGTTCAGGGCGCTCCTTCAAAAAGAGGTGGAGCTCTGCAACCCAAAAGCAGTAAGCAAAAACCGTCCCTATAGTTGAAAACAATGCATTGAAAGCTTCAGCACACTCAGTCGGCCCGGGGCCTACATGTCATTTTCATCATTAACTAAATCGCTCTTTCTTAATTTTGTTGCTCCAACTTGGGCAAAAATGGGCCATAATACAAACACACCACACTAAACAAGATAAGGGAAACAGGGTGTATGTACCATCTCATGATCATATTTCATCAGTGGAATTAAGCGTGTGCTCATCGCCTGAACTCTGGTAATCCGGTCAGTTGGAGATGTCAGTGAGCACAGAGCCATGACTCATTACTGTTACTTTCTGCAAGCAGAGCAGTGAAGTTGTGAGGCTTTAAGGATCTTTTGGGATGGAATCACAATAGGAAGTCAAATAATGTTAAGTAAACTCATCTGTAGTTCTTGCCAATTAAACAGCTCAAAACAGTTGTTTAGAAAACACAAGAGTCCAGTGGGTCGTGCAGATTGGAGCTGGATGATAACATTTAGCTTCATCTAAACCTTTTGACGTTTAGATTTGTATTTTGTAGCTGCCCTTTCAGTTTCATACTTGTTTATACTTTCTTAGTCATTTGTTACTCAGACAGTTCTATTTTTTCCTTTTGATGTAGTGTCTGTCTTGGGCATTTTGTCTGCCAGCAGTCCATCTGAAAAATGTGATCAACAGATGTCCATGAAATCTGGCAAACAGTTGGGTGTTTGCCCGTGGAGCGAAGGATTCAATTTGTGAGATATGCACCTGGTGTTTTTGCTGAGGATTATTGTGTTTGTGACTGCTCTGGGGAGAGATTTAGTTTTCCAATATTAGGGAAAGAAAGATGTGAACTTCTAAATGCAATTTGTCAAGCATTCTTGGAGGTTGGTGCTATCTATTCATTTTTTATGTTCAGCTCTCAGTGGAGTTCAATTCAAACTAGCAAGAAGAATGCTTTTCTTAGCGTTGCTGTCACCTAAAGATGCAAATAAATCAGAAGTAATGATTTCATCACGATTAAAAAGTTTGTCTTCAATTTACTGGCAAACAGCAGCAGATATGGGACAAAACTGTACATATTGATCCACAGCGGCATACAATAATTAAAATGCAGGTGTTATTCCCAGTTGATAATTCAGCTGAGACAACGCTAAGTGATATTACTTCTTGAAAGAAACTGCAACGGCTTGTTGTTTAAGTAACCATTGACAAACAAAAGCCTCCTCCAACCATTATTCTTCTGCTGTAACACTTAATGATCCAATTTTCTTTAATAGTCATTTTCCTTTACTCATTTCCTGTTTGACTTAACTGGAACATTTCATTAGCAGAAACAAACCTCCCTTGAAGTTGATTGTTGTTGCGGTTGTGTTGAATTGAACACAAATTTGAAAGAAAAATACTCTTATCTTCATCTTCCCATGTCATTTCCATGTGTGTGTGTGTGTGAACGTTTGTCTGTCAAAATGTGTGTGTGTGGATATAATGTGTAAAGGTAAAGGAGACATCTTCTCCCTCTGTGGCCCCCGATGGTAAGCCGTCCCCTGTTGCACGTCCCCAGGCTCAGTCTGCAACCAATGAACAGGTGTGTGTTCGTCTTGCTGCAAAGGTACACAAAGGAGTGTGTGTTTATTAGACATACATACACACTGTTTCCACAACCCATGTTAATATTAATAAATAATAATCTCTGATAAAAAATGTAATGCATTATTATTATTATTATTATTAATATATCTAATATGTAATGTATGACTCTATATGTATATATGTCCATTTTCATTCATTTCTTATTTCATAGTTTCTCATTATTATCATTATTATTTTTATCGCTGATCTTATTTTTGATTGTATTAATATGTGTGAATCTGTGCTATCCTGTTTTTCACTTTAAACTACTGAATTTCTCCACGGGGATTAATAAAGGTCCATCTTATCTTATCTTATCTTCTCACATAAAAAAGCACTAGACTTATTATTTTTATTTGTTGTACATGGAATGCTTCTACATGCCCACTCAGTCTGAAGTGGAACAATCATAGCAATTTTCTCTGCATCATTGATTGTGCTTTCTGCAATTTCAATGGCTGGTCCTGCAATCCTACTGTAGGTCCCACAGCTGACTCCCTCTGAGGAGGATCACAAGCGTGTGAGGAGGATCTTCGCCGCCGATGCCAATGATGTAACTTTTCTCTTTGAGACTTTGTTTGGTTTGCACCTGCCATGCTTTTACCAACCTATACCAGCCTGGGTCTACTGCTTGCTTCCCTGGATAGAGGGAAATGTGTCCAAAAACCACCCATGTGTACGGCTGTCCCAAGCTCTCTGCCAATGGGGTTCAATTACAAGGGTCCCCTGTGTTGTTGGCCCCTTGGAGTGACATCTGAAACTTTGTGACCAAAGGGACGTTTTCTCTGTCTGCGGGAGTAATGGAGATTACTTCAGAGTTAGCTCAATAGAAAGTTAAGGACTTCCTGGTAATCGGTATCACAGTTTGAGTACAGCCCTTAAAATAAGTTGGATTGGATTACATTAGATGTACTTTTTTGTTACAGTTAACAAGGCACTGCACATGAGTTTAAAACAGAAATAAACATTAAATATTAACAGTAGAAAAGTAAAGATCTATAGACTCTAGAGTATCTATAGATTACACAATATCAAAGAACAAGTTAGAATACACTATAATTGACTCCGACTAATAAAATACAAACATACTAAATACATTATGTACGTGTGCAAGGTAGTTGCATTTTTTAAAATAAAAAATGATATGCAATGAGCTAGAGTGCGAGTACAATATGTGCAATTGTTCAGGATGACTGGTATCCCCTCTTATTCTTTCTGTAGTATTAACTTCTTTGTTATCAGGTCCAGAGGAGCACCCGTTAGGCCTGTCACGATAAATACTTTTGTTGGACGATAAATGTTCCTGGAAATTATTGCGATAAACGATAATATTGTCGGCACCATTGTAAGACCATTTTAGACCACTGACATAATGATAATATATCATAATAATTCTAGTACATCCTTTCAAACAGAACTTTTTATTGAACATTCAACATTGCAAATGAAATGTGAAATAATATTAAAATATATAAATGATATATAATAAATAAAACAAATTAATTAAATTATAATAAATTAATTAAATCACACACAACCAAAACAATAAATTAAATAGACTCAGGCTGGAAAACAGAGCTCTCAATCCATCTATCTATCCATCTGTGTCTCTCTCTCTATATATATATATATATATACAGTGTTTCCCCTATATGTTTTCAGCAGCGGCGCTNATGTGAAATAATATTAAAATATATAAATGATATATAATAAATAAAACAAATTAATTAAATTATAATAAATTAATTAAATCACACACAACCAAAACAATAAATTAAATAGACTCAGGCTGGAAAACAGAGCTCTCAATCCATCTATCTATCCATCTGTCTCTCTCTATATATATATAAATCAATATGAGCACACATTGTCTCACAAGCAAAAAAAATCTCCTGAAAACAACATTCATGTGTTCAGTCCACTGTCCATACAAAGACCCAGATGCCTCAACAGGCCATATCCAAATCTGTTTTTCGAAGTTTTCGAGCAAGGAACACCAACATACATGTTTGCATTGTCGGGCAAATGCATCTTTGATTGTAAACTGTCGGGAAGGTGGGGGCTCTCCATCTCCAGCTGCCGTGTTTGCTACCAGCTGGGAAAACGGAATGGAGTGGTTGTGTTTTAGGTGTAGTTTAAAATGCGTGGAATTGCCTGCTTTTGTCGCTACCTTTTTTAAACAAATGCGACACACCGCCCGGCTCATTCAAGTCCGTAGGTTGGCCTCGTTGATTTGGCTTGAATCCAAAATACTGCCACACTGGAGAATCGAGATGTGTATGTTTTGTAACCAATTCCATTTCACTTTAAATTCCCCGCGAGTAAGTCACAGGTTGTCTCCCGCTTGTCGCTATATTATTAATTTGGCTGCTACGCTGCTGTACGTGCACACAGTGTCCTGACCTGGCTGTGTGTCAGCCCCGCCCCTCACAGCGCGCCTGGCAGCCACAGCGCTCCAGGCTAAAATGCTGGTCACATCTTTATGTAAACGGCAATTTATCGAGCTCAGAAAAGTTATCGAGTCCATTTTTATTTATCGTACGATAAGTCAATTTATCGATTATCGCGACAGGCCTAGCACCCGTGTACTTTATGACTTTGTTCATTGCCCATTCTGGTTATTTTGGCAGTACTTCACTACACCTCGGTGTCTGGTTATTTCTTCTTTCACAGTCTAAAGCACTGGAAGGCACATCTCTCTCCTGTTATATCATATTGTGTCTCATGTCTGTGTGTTTGCCTCTCTGTGGGTTATCGGATCCTCACCTGCTGCTGGTCTCCTTGCTGTTTGCATGGCGAGCGTGCCAGAGGCCGTAAATCCTCTCGGGTACGCCACAGAGTGCTGGTGTCTGAGCTTGTTGTCCTACACTGACCCCTCCCTGCTCTGTCTGTGCCCCCCCGCTCCTCTCTGTCCCCGCGCTGCTCTCTTCGGTGCATTCAAGGTTCATGCGAGAGCTCGGTTCTGTGATGTAACACAAACAAGTGGTTACCAATGTTTGGTCAGGGATTCTTGAATTAACAAGTGCAGCTGTGTATTGGCCTTGCAGTTTTTGCTATTTTCACTCAGATATTGATACCAAGGTTAAGATTTATTAGTGTAGGAAATAAAACAAAATGTACTTGGGGAACATAATTGTGGGAAAATATACACAGTTTTTCCACCTTTTGTTAATATGAGTAAGAAGCGTATATATTTCAAAGAGCAGTGTCTTTATAATAGCATAATGAGAAATAAATCATTCTAACTATTCAGGCTTTTATTTTGCTCAGAATAGCCTTTGTTTATGTATTAATTTAGATAAAGTCCTATCAATAACTGCAGTTTAACATATTCAGCATGTCTTATTTCAACCCTAAATGAAGCCTGACATACTGACACACTTACTGACATTTTGAACATGGATGAAATTAAAATGTACACTCCACTATTCAGGTCTTCTTCATCATATCTTATGATTATTCAAAATATACATAACCTTACTGTAAGTGCTCCTGTCTGTAACTAGATAAGCACATGTACAAGGTATTATATTTGTTAACTCTAAAACTTGGGTATTCCGTACAATTACTTGACTTTATATCCCTGAATTGCTTGCAATGACACATATTATATCAAGATATTACTACGTCATTGTGTTTATGCACCGTACTATCTCTGCTCCAAGCACATTAGCATTGACTATTAAATTGTTTTACAACTGGCTCTACAATGCCCTGCATTTATACCTCATACTGTGCACAACTGATCTAGTTAACTGTGACTGTTAATATGACAGAACATTCATTTTCTGTATAATAGTCCCCACAGGCCTGTAGACAGCACTTTAATGCACCTTGTAATCCCTGCTCATTAATACATTAACATTGTAGTTTTTAATGGTGAATTCATATAATGACTTTTTCTGCTACCGTTGCTTGACTTGATAGTGCACTGCTGCTGTGCCGTGTCTTGCTACAGTGTTTTATTTGATGTGCTTTTTACGAATTTGCTTGATTGAATGCAATGTTCAGCTGTTGAATTCAATCTTCTTCTTCCCTTCTCCAGTCGAAGCTTGTTGAGGACCCTGTGGCCATCCTTCAGGCAGCGCACTCGGCTGCAGCTCAGGTCTGACCATGGCTACTCCTGATTGTAGTTCTGGTTGCATCCCCCCAGAGTGATGTGTTGTTGTGGGGTTTTAGTGTGTGATGAACTAGTAGAGGCTAGTGGGAGGATCGCTCTGTAGTTAGTGAGGCAATCCCAGCTTCTATCTTCCCTGTAGCACTAGCTGTTGAAGTATCACCTGGCACTCTTTCTCAGGCAGAAAATACAACAATAATCTTGGTGCAGCTATCGGATGTTTATGACCCTAGCTTGATTGCATGTCTGAGTCTGTTTTCATGCATGACTCTCCAAACAACTGATTTGATTTGGTTGTGTCTGTTTGTTGTATTTCAATTTATTCAGATGTTTTTTATCTGTGCAATCCTTCTAAAACACATGTATTTGTGTCTGTGTGATTCACTTGGTTGTGATGAAACAACCCAGCATCCCCCCTGTCTGTGATGTCTGTTCAGTGAACACATCAGTTTGCAGACGTTGGGTTCAATGTGCACTCTGTGAGCTCTGAAGGGTGCTGTAAAGGTCTAATATGTAACATTTTCCACATTAAGGTCTGAACACAAATAGATAGTTACGTTATTTTATTTAAGTATTTAAGAAATCTGTGCTTTTAAGTGAAGGTGACGACTTTATCTAGTAAAACCGGCAAAAGCTACACACCCCCTTTGTGCATATGTAAGCGTTTGTCAAAATGTGTCTTTTCATCCACTTTTGGGCCACATTTTTACATTACACTTTTTTGATTTCGGTTGATTTCCCATATTTAGTTTAACTGGATAAAGGATTTTAGTAATATCTCGTCCTTGATTTTAAGTTATCAGAGGAAACAAGCTAGGCTAACATTAGCTTTTGGCTCAGAACCCTTCTACCCTTTCTCCACTGGGACAAAATAAATGTTTACATCAAAAAACTGCTTAATTTAGTGTTTTTACTTTTACTGACAATTTAGCTCACGTTACAAATATGTCCTGAAAGTCTGGGTCCTACGTTATCAGAGAAACAAGCTAGGCAAACGTGCGGTTATCACATTCTCACAGATTCATACAGGTGTTTGAAGGGCCTTTTGTAGGATCCTTTTGGAGGTCCATCATTCATTTATCTAATTTAATCATTAATCATTCAACTATTCTTTTTGCACACTCCATCATTTTGTAAGGTTCAATCACTGATTATAAAATATCCTATTTTGAACCCGTTTCTACAGGCGAAGACAGAGGAGCAGCTTACGGCAGAGACAGCCTGGTACAACAAAGAGAAAGTATGGCTGGTCCACAAGGATGGATTTTCTATTGGTCAGTAAAAACTTCAGCATTTAAGTATCAGTATCATTTATATTAGAATCTTTAAATAATTCTCTCACTTTGCTGTTAGTTCGGTTTTCTGGCTGATTTTGACTAAATGTAATCAGACTGTATGTAATTAGATTTAGTGTGGTTCTTGTTCAGTTTTAATTAGGCTTTTAAATTATTAAAAGAGATCACACATCATCAGACATGTAAGAAAAGACAAAGCCATTTCACCCAGGTTGAGATCATATGTCATGATGAATTAACTCCACTCTCTTTGGCTGTGCAGCGACTCTCCTGAAGGCGAAGGCAGGCAGTCTGCCAGAGGGGAAGGTGAAAATCCGCCTGGAGAGTGATGGATCTTTATTGGATGTGGATGAAGACGACGTAGAGAAGGTATTTAATCATCAAATCAACTCTAAACCACATCAATTACAGATGACACGGGGCGAGAACTTAACCGCTTTGACTTTGAACTCCAGGCTAACCCTCCGATGTTTGACCGAGTGGAGGACCTGGCCTCTCTGCAGTATTTGAACGAGTCGAGCGTTATGCACTCGCTGAGGCAGCGGTACGGCGGTAACCTGGTGCACACCCACTCTGGGCCCAACATGGTGGTCGTCAACCCCATCTGCGCCCCCTCCATGTACTCTGAGAAGGTAGGCTGCATCTGTTCATATATTCTATTTTGTCCTCCTCTCCTTCACTGTTTCTTCATCTTCTCTCCAGGTGATGCAGATGTTCAAGGGCTGCAGAAGGGAGGACACGGCCCCTCACATTTACAGCATGGCCCAGGCTGCCTATAGGAACCTCCTCACCACTCGCCAGGATCAGTCCATTGTCCTGCTGGGCAAGAGTGGTAGTGGAAAGACCACCAACTGTCAACACATCATCCAATACCTGATCAGTGTCGCGGGCAGCACCAACAAAACATTCTCCTGTAGGTTGGAATGGACTACATTTGGAAATAATTTGACTTTTATGGTTGTGGTTATGCTTGTCACGATAAATACTTTTGTTAGAGGATACATTAGAGCAGGGGTACTCAAATACAAATCTTAAAGGTCCAACATTTTCTTTTCAATAAGACAAAGGTCCGTTTATTACGGTCATTCACACGAGGTTGCAAAAACAAAAATAATCTGTATGCAGCAGTTTTCATTGTTATTGTGTCTGTGCTTGATCCCTCAGGGTCGCAGTGCAGCTGCAGTTATGAATAAAGGCAGCTGCACCCTCTTTCATTCAGCATTACCATTATTGCTTTATAAATGTCTTGCCCCCTTGTGTGTCCACTGAGGTTCGTCAGGCCCAACACATCTTCAACAAACTCCCCCTTTGCCTCATCATAAAAACTCACAAACACCAGCAACTGAGCATTGTCAGTGGTGTCAGTGCACTCATCCACAGCTAAGGAAATGCACTGTGCATTTTGTAGCCCATCACAAAGCTGATTAATCAAATCACCAGCCAGTATTTATGTTCTTCTGGTTGCTGTGGAATCTGAGCCCTCTCAGATTCCACAGCAACCAGAAGAACATAAATACTGGCTGGTGATTTGATTAATCAGCTTTGTGATGGGCTACAAAATGCACAGTGCATTTCCTTAGCTNAACGAAAGTAACAAACACAATGCGATATCCTTTTCAATTTCAAAGAACACAAATTGGGTTACATTAACAAATAACTATAAAACAACAATACTGTAGAATAACAAAATGAATGCCGGGCGTGAATACACCGAAATACACGTGTTGAAGCGGTTCGCTGCTGATAACTACGCCCCTAACCCCCGCCCCCCCCGCGTGGGCCGAATATTCGAATATTCGCTGCTGATTACTACCGAATATCCGGAGCCCGAAAAATGATATTCGGGACAGCCCTAGAAATTTGTTGACATAATATACTTAATTAAAGTCAACGTTTCCGTTTTTTCAGTGTGTTGAGAGAGCGCAATCTTTTAAAACACACTTTCACACACATTCTGATATCTATTTGTAGGACATTGGTACTGTATTAATGTGGTGTAGAAATTATCCCTAAATAAAAATCACGTATATGGCCACTTGAAACAGCTATCTAAGTGTTTAAACATACTGAGCAAAACATTTTCTTTGTAGCATCCATTATGTTTACACTTTAAAACTTAAAGCTCATGAAGACACAGTCAGAAGGTCTGTAACAACTCGGGGGAAAGGGTACGTTGTAAAAGCGTGTGAATGCAGGTCCGCGCTCTCCTAGTAATGTTCTTTTCAGTGATGACAAGAGACCAATTATTTGGTATTTTGTTCATTCCTGTGATGCATTATAATAACACGCTGCTGTGCCACAAGTAGGTGAGTGGCATTATTACCAGCATGAGCAGGGACCGAGCTCTTATATAAATTGTTGGTACAGCCAGTTATATCTGCAGGACGTAAACATTCAGCTGAAGTAATCATTTTTTTCCATTTCTGGTGGTTCAAAAACAAGCCAACATTCCATTAACCAGCAGCATTTACCTTGGTCTGAGGCATGATTCCGAACATATTGTTTTCAGCAAAGTGATTCATGTGCAGCTCAGTTCTGATGAAAATGAAAGAAAACGCAAGAAATCAAAATCTATAATGCCAACTATAGCCTATAGTAAAAGAATAAGGGAAACATACATACAGTATATATAATTGAAATGTAAAAATCCAGTGCAGAAATGAATTTCACTGTGCATTGATTAAAGTAATTATTCTGACCTAAGAGAGCTGTCCACCCCAGCCATCAGGTAGTAAAAGACGTTAAAAGTGGACTCTCCTTCTGGTCGTCTGGTCACTCTCATCTTCTCCAGGAGCATGGTCTGCAAAGCAACAGCAGGACAGGATATTAGCATGATAGAAAACAACAGTTTATAAAGGCAGCACAAGTAAGCATAATAAGAAAGTGTTTGGAGAACATCTATCTTTGTTCATGACACATCCTTAAGTACAATTAGTACACTTCAGTGCCAATAAATGCTTTTTTTCTCATTTTCTGCTACTTTTTATTATATCTGAAGCAAATATTGTACTTTCACTACATTTGCCAAACAGCTTGTAAAACTCTTCCGATCAAACACTGAAAAAACTGGAACGTTGACTTTAATAACTTCACTTAATATCATTGCTTTCAACTAACCTAATAGTTATGTGAAATGTGTTGACATAATACACTTAATTAAAGTCAATGTTTTCGTTTTTTCAGTCCAGTTTCTTATCTCCTTCCTGTCTAGTGATGACTTGTAGAACATTAAACTACCCACATGAGAAGTATTTTTTAAAAAGCCACATCCATTAAACATATACAGCAGTGAAATGCAACATAGACAATATTGCAGCAGTATTGCTTATCCAAAAATATCATATCTAATAGTAGAATACTGACAGGGAAGATATCAGTGCACAAAGAATGCATTTACTTTAACTATTTAACTATATTAAGTGTATTTTGCTGATTATCCTACATATTTTGCTTAAGAGATATTTGGAATGCAAGAGTATTTGCAGTGAAGTATTTACAAAGTGGGGTGTTTGTACTTTTAAATCAGTAAAGACTTTAAAAACGTCTTCCACCACTGCTGAATCATGGCAGATATGCATAATTATTCAGACCTTCAGAGGCTTTTGTACCTGGATAGAGGCTGATGTTACCAGGCCTGCCTGGTCAAAGTCCAAGGAAACAATATGGGAGAAGCGACTAGCATTCCCATTCATACAGGTGGAGGCGTTCCCAAAGGCCTCCAAAACTGTGTAGACGGCCTGCCATTTCTCTGCTACAGACAACATGGAGAAAATACAGTCATTTGATACATCAGCAACAGCATGAAGGCCTGTCACGATTATAACGTTACAGACTTGTTGTGCTATGAACATACACATGATTTCGAAAAAAATTTGCCTAATTATTTTTATATTATAGCCAAGATCATGATAGAAAAAACTGAAAGGTTATCACTTTCATTCTAAAAATTGGACATTGCACAGACATTTCCGTGTAATGGAGTAAGATGTATTAACATTATAAAGTGTTATTTTATATCTTTTCCCATTACAATTCCAAAATGTGTTGCTCTTTGGAAAAGTAAACTTGCATTAATATGCTATTGTATTATCATTATCCTCTAATGCAGGCATCCTCAAAGTCCGGACTCCGGTCCGGATCCGGACCGAACCACAACTGTCTCTGGACTCTGAGCAAATTATACTTTTCATATGTGTTATCTGCGAGACATCGCCACAACGCAACGAGTCTAAATGTTCCGCTATGTCCACTACAAACAGCGCTCTGCCTGTCCGACTGTTCCACTGTATGTGTGTGTCTGTCAACGCATTGGTCCAATCACATTCAGCATCCCGTCAGCGTTTTTTTCCCCCACCAACAGTCTGCGAATCAGAGGCACAGTAGGGCGGGTCTTCGCGGAATGCGGGTGGGAAAAATGCGTGTGTTTAAAAAAAAGAAGTCAGAGCGAGAGTTAACAGCTCATCTAGTTGCATCTGTACTTTAGCTAGTAGCCTAGTTTCACCTACTGGGGTGGCCTGGGGGGGCAACTGCTATCCTGAAAATAGGCCTTGCCACCCCAGTTGGCAGCTTTGTTTTGAAAGAAAAAACAAAAAAGTTATATTTCTGCTTCTTCATCCTCTGAATTTTCCTCCCCCGTCCCTCTTCCTTCAGCCAGCACAACAAGAATCAAGGTGGATCTGTGAAATGAAACACCTCTTCCCAAAGTGTGACTTCCCTATTGAGAGCATGCGTCTAGGGCAGTAGGGTCTAAACCAGGCATCCTCAAAGTCCGGACTCCGGTCCGGATCCGGACCGAACCACAACTGTCTCTGGACTCTGAGCAAATTATACTTTTCATATGTGTTATCTGCGATACATCGCCACAACGTAACGAGTCAAAATGTTCCGCTATGTCCACTACAAACAGCGCTCTGCATGTCCGACTGTTCCACTGTATGTGTGTGTCTGTCAACGCATTGGTCCAATCACATTCAGCATCCCGTCAGCGTTTATTTCCCCCACCAACAGTCTGCGATTCAGAGGCACAGTAGGGCGGGTCTTCGCGGAATGCGGGTGGGAAAAATGCGTGTGTTTAAAAAAAAGAAGTCAGAGCGAGAGTTAACAGCTCATCTAGTTGCATCTGTACTTTAGCTAGTAGCCTAGTTTCACCTACTGGGGTGGCCTGGGGGGGCAACTGCTATCCTGAAAATAGGCCTTGCCACCCCAGTTGGCAGCTTTGTTTTGAAAGAAAAGTTGTGGCTCATCGGACATTTATGAGAGAAAGTCTCTAATGTCCGAGTGCAAGTGAATGCAGCACAAGACGCACGCCTTGTAACCCTCCCCCGGACCTGGTGCGAGCTTTGAAATATGATTGGCGGCGATTTCATTTGAACAGTACTGCGCAAAACGAGAAGCATTCGGATCCATCATCCAAGTACTGAAGGAATGAGGTATGATTTGTGGTCTACAATGACATAGAAGAGACTGTCAGTGTGGCTGTACTCTGCATTGAATCAAAACGCACTAAAGCTTTGGATCTTAAAAAAAAATCCCCCGCCTGGGGGTGTTTCTTTTGTTTTTTTCATGTGGTATTCCAGTAGTAGAATTGTCAAACAATACCAGTAGGCACTCGGCTCGTAGTTAACTGTACAGTCAGATATTGACTTACGGCGCTAATGGTGTACACAAGTCGTTTTGCGG